AATAAATAATTTAATAAACAAAATTTTAATTTAACAGATCAAATAATAAATTTTCAAAACCCTTAAAAACAATGTCATTCTCTTAGGACAACTATCTATGGTATAAGACATGCAACTGCAGTTTGTTGCTCTTTTCTCTTAACTACCAATAACGGTAATTCGTTGCAAGCAATTCAATTAAAATATTACATTTTATTTCGTAAACACATTTGAAAGATATTGTTAATTAATATGGTGCAATATGCGTAAGTAACAAGTATATTTGAACTGGGTGCTTTCGAAAAAAGGCACGTTTTAAATAAAGTAAAATAAATATTTTCATTTAGAATGACTTTTTGAATAACAAAAAGAAGGTGGCCTGAAATACTAAACAACAGAAGTCATTTACACATAATCTCAAAAGGTTCGGCTAACAAGGATTTTTCCATACAAATAATTATTTCTGGAGGGAAAAACTATTATTCTTAATAAATTCAAATCGGAGAGAGCAGAATTAGCGAGACAACGGCTAAAAAGTTGAAAAAAATCAGTTGAGCTATACTCAATAAATATTGAGGGTGTCAAATTTGTCGAGCAAGGTGTGTAAATTTACGATTTCAGAACTAATATGGGCTAAAGGTGCTAATTAGGCCTACATACACTTATGTATATAGTACATATATATGTATATATAAATAATTGTAAATATGCAGATTAATGTATACTTATTGCGATTAAAGATTGTTCAAAACTTTGGCAAGCGTGGGGAAATCCAACGACGTTATTGCTTTGTTGTTGTTGTTGGTTTAAGAAACATGACACGTCTCATAACGCAATTGGTCCGTGCCATTCGAGAACTCATCTAGTGTTGATAAAGCGCCGCCTTGCAGCACTTTGTTGACAGCGGCGCGCGCCAAATAGCCGGTGGTTTCGGTATAAATGAGTGCATAGAAGGGCCGCATGTTGTCATTCTGACGTTCGATATTGTTGTCCTGCCATAACCAAAGCAAAATTCATATAAATAATGTTGCAAAATCACATAGAGTTGAAAACAAAAATACCTTGCAATACATGCCGAACGCCTCGCTTATTATGTCATCGATATCAAGCGCTTGCTTGAAATGCAACTCCGGATTGCTGTGGTATAATGAAAGTAATGGTAAATATATGTATGTATAAATATTTTGTAAACTACATACCGGTTCAATATTGTGGCGATGATGCATAAGAGTTCTACAGTGATTTGACGCCGTTCCGGACAATCTATACACATTAAAGTCTCTTCCACCAACAATGAAAAAGTGATCTCACCACGACTCATATTCACCAGTGTTGGTGCGGAGGGCAACAGATGTCCCTGTGTGGTAATACCTTGTGTGCGTTGCAAAATTTCCCAGATTTTGTTGTAGAAATGTTTTGGTACGCGGCATAGGCAGCCCTCCAATTGGCGGCGTTGTAAGGTGGTGAGTCTGTAAATGGTATTTTAAAGAATATTAATGATTAAAATATGTCACTAAGCATTTTTGAAAACAAAATTAGATACACACTTAAGATCAAATTTGAACCGGACTGGTCCATAACTGCAAGCTCATGATCAAATTTGAACCGGACTGGTTCAAAACTACAAGCTCAAACTCCATAAAATAACAAACATAAAACCTGTCCGGGTCAAATTTGATCTTGAGTTTATACTCTTAGGAATCCTCATCACACTTACTTTTCCTCTGCAGCCCATTCGGAAACAGTCAGCACCTTTTGCAAGAGTATACGCACTTGGAARGGAGAAAGGTTTTCCAAATCAATCGATTCCTGCCCCGACATCTGCAAGTAGAGACGCATAGCTTCCAAAACCCAGCCGACGCGTATCTACAAAGTTTGAAAAAATAAAATACAAATATATGAGATTCTAAAACAACCAAAAAGCGTGCCGCAAAACTCACCTTCAATATGCCCCTGAACATGGAGGGGTTTGTGGCGATCAAACGTCCACAATATAGTACCACCTCTTGCTGCAACACCGCCTGTATMACATTGTAGGGTTGTACGGTCGTGTACATGACATTCTGTATCTCCGCCGGTGTCATCGGTTTATCGAAATTCGTCTCCTTTTGCCCAATGACGCCCACAGTCAATTCCTTACCATTGACCAGCACCGTG